AGGGTGTAGAGAAGATTGGTCAAGTCCGGATGCTGGGACAGCACATACTGGTGCAGCTGATCAACCCGGGTGGTCAAAGACGCCTCGGAACCTGCCGAGATGGGAATGAGGACTTTGGAACGTGCAATATCATTGAGACGGTGCTGTTGCTGCATTGGGATAGCATAGGGCCCGGCAGATTCAATGATGGCATGGGCGTTGGCGCCCCCGTAGCCGAAGGAGTTCACGCCGGCTCGGCGTGTTGAAGAGGTCCCAGTCGAAGGCCAGGGAGTCATCTTCTTCACGATGTCGATGTTCCACTCCTCACACTTGATCTTGGGGTTGATCTGGTTGACTCCGATAGACGCCGGGATGCTTTCATGTTCCAGGGCGAGCACCGTTTTGATGATGCCAGAGATACCACTTGCTGCTTCGCTGTGGCCAAGATTGGATTTAACAGACCCGATGAGCAAGGGCTGACCAGTCCGGCCGTGGAATATTTTCGATAATCCTTCGGCCTCAATGGGATCGCCTACGGGCGTTCCTGTACCGTGGCATTCGACGTACATTGTCTGGGAGAAATCGAGGGCTGCCTTTTCGTACGCTTTGCGTATCACGGCTTCCTGACCTTCTGCGGAGGGGAGGGTGATTCCTGATGTCCGACCATTTCTATTCTCATCTTAGCTGGGTTCCTTTTTTTCAGGTTGAAAGGGAAACCATACGAATTGACTGCAGTTCCCCGGATAATAGCTCGAATGGGGTCATTATCCTTGATGGCATCGGAGAGACGTTTCAAGTAGATACACCCAATGCCCTCTGCTCTCCCATATCCATCTGCCTCGTCGGAGAAGGTATGACAGGTCGAAGTGCCCGACAGCACGCCGGCCTTCATCGTCCCGAGATGTTGTTCAGGCGACTGAATCAGGTTCGCACCCGCCACAACGGCACTGTCACACTCACCATTCTCAAGGGCAGCGCAGGCTACATGCAGGCAGTACAGAGACGATGAGCAGGCGGTATCGAGAACGAAACTGCATTCCATATGAATTAGCGCCCGGGCTCAATCTCCCTTTGGTAGCTTCAGGGGAAAGTGTATACCTCGGCCCCTTCAAGTTAAACGTATGACTGATGCGGTTCGCAAGAATCGTCGTCCCCATACCCGTCGCACTATACCGATGCAAGTACTCGGGGTCCCTCGTCTGCATCACCTGAAAGTCAACGGTGAAGTTGCCGACGTAACATCCCACGTTAGAGCCTGACACCTCGTCCAGACTGGCCCCCGCGCTCTCGAACGCCTCGAACACGACTTCCAGCAGTTTTCGTTGCTGCGGGTCCATGTAGGTCGCCTCGATGGGGCTGATGCCGAAGAAGTCCGGATCGAAGGCGCGAGGATCCTCCTGGAGGAAATAACCACCCGTGGTGTGCATAGATCCAGGTCGATCCACACCCTTGGGGTGGTAGAAAGCATCAACGTTGAATCGACTTGAAGGGATCTTGCATTGTCCTGATTTTCCCTCCTTCAGAAAGTCCCAGAGACGGGAAGGCGAATTCACGTCACCGGGCAAGCGACAGCCTAGCAAAGCTTTAGTCTTAGCACTGAAATGTTATGTAGACCGAGGTAAGGGGGAGTTCGAACCCATCCCAACAATAGCAATTGGTTCATGCTGGCCACGAGCGGCATCTCTATGTGGGCCTGTGCCATTTGCAGTGAAGACAGAAGGCGACGAAGGAACAGAAGAGGGAATTGAGGAACTAGATGGAGCCATTGTAGAGAGTCTTAGACAATGAAAAGTCTGCTAAATCCCAGAATCACACAAAATGTTGCAATGCAATTGTCGATTGGATCTCCTTGATCGTGGCCATATATGATGGTGCCCCGTAACGACAGTGGATAGACAGGAAGGGCTGACGGAGGAGCTCCTTTGGGAAAGCCCCGAAACACTATAGGGCTATGAGTGCCGGTCTCTCATGCTCCGGAGGTAGATGGCTATTACGTTGGATGATAGACTTGTGCGATGATGGTCTCTTCTCTCTTTACCTACCTCGATCAATGGTTGCACCCGTTTGAGTGACTCTTCTGTGAACGTTTTTCGCTCATCACACGCCCTATTGCTTTGATACCATTTCTCTACGAAAGGATGAACCATATTAAAGGTGCAGTGATCACAGGATGTGGAAGTGGAGGCATCGGCCATGCACTGTCTGCCGAATTGAAACGTCGAGGTTAGACTCACGCATGATTCTTGCATGTGTAGAGATAGCATCCTGACGATTCCCAGGGTTCCACGTCATCTCGACACTCCTGTCCTTTGAAGACCCCAGCCATCTCGAGGCCCTCGACATTGAGGTGGTACGGTGCGATGTTACCAGTGAAGAAGACGTAACTGCCTTGAAGAGACTAGTGGAAAAACGCCTTGACGGGCGCCTTTCTATTCTCATCAACAACGCAGGCATATGTAACTCATCACCTGGTTAGAAGCCCGATAGAGTGGCTCCAACTGACGGAAGCACTGAGCAGGTTATACGATGACAGCAACTGATACCCAGGTTGACGAAGTTGAGAGGATGTTCAGGGTGAACGTCTTCGGGCCAATGCGCATGGTCCATCATCTCCATCCTCTTCTTGTGCAAGCTAAAGGGCTTGTTGTCAACATCGGTTCGGTCGGGGGAATCGTGCCCTACGTCTATGGAGGTGCGTTCCATTTATCCAGGTAACCCTCTAAGTTAATGAGAGTTAACCCCACCTCAGCCAGTTATAACGCCAGCAAGGCAGCGCTTCATCATTACGGCAATACCCTGCGCGCGGAACTCAAGCCTTTCGGTGTCCGCGTTGTTAATATCATCTCGGGAGAAGTCTCGACCAATGTCCTGCGCACTGATCGTAACAACCAGCGGAAGCTCCCAGAAGGTGGGTTTTAATGTTCTGCATCTCGCCAAACTTATCACTGACTCCGATATGGCAGAGTCAATCTATAGTGCTCTAGCGGAAGACTTTCAAAAGCACATTTATCGTACACCCAGTAGGTTTCACACGACCCATGTGTTCTCTCCATCACTCGCTCATATACTCTTACTGCAGATACTATCACCCCGGAGCAGTATGCCCGGGGGGTGGTCGACCAACTGCTCAAGCCTTCTCCAGCAGCTTGGGTGTGGTACGGTGCGCAGACGGGAATTGTGCGGTGGTGTGACATGTTGCTGCCGCGCACATTCTGGGTAGGAATCCTTGCAATCCGTCCATCTCATAGCTAACGCCGTCTCAATAGGATTGGCTTTTCTATCATATGTTCAATTTCGAAAAACTGGCGAATGCTGTCCGAGGTGTGAAGGGAGATGTCTGATCGGGGAATCTTTCGTGGACATTGGCAATAACCTTGACACCCGAATGCCAAATATTGTTGCATGGAGCAATATAGGCTGTGCTATACTGCCAGGAATAGTAAGGATGTAGTGGAACTCGAGCTCTGGCTTGTGAGACCGTGGTTGGACCTTAGCTCGGGCCGGTTCTCAAAGGAGCCAACCCCGATATTAATTTCGTCGGAGATAACTAGATCTCCTTTGTGATTTCAATGAACATGCAAATACACCACGATAGTTATATTTGACCTCGACGCACTGCTCATCGTATAACTGCATACATACGTACACCTTGCCCTTAAGACCAGAAACAAGACCCATTTGGCAAATATGAACATTGACGGATTTGCACTCGTGACGGGCGCAGGTAGGCGCTGACAAGCAATACACAGACATACTGTTCAACAACTGATATGTATACCGTTATTATTAAAAGGTAGTGGCATTGGCCGCGACTGTGCCATTGCCTATGCCATTGAAGGCGCAGCCGGTGTGGCATTCGCCGATCTGGATCCCGTCGCAGCGACAGCCGCCGCCGAAGAAAGCAAATTGCTCGCTACGAACCCCAACTACCGAGCATTGACCATTGAGGTTAATGTCCGTGATCCAGACAGTGTCCAGGAGATGGTTGACACAGTCGTCATGGCCTTTGGCCGCATTGACTACTCCGTCAACAGCGCAGGGGTGAGTGACAAGTGACGCCCGTCATCCCAAGAATATATACCGCAAAGCCTTTGCTATTTTCAGCTGACTATTCGTTCAACCCTTCTAGGTTGGAGTCGAGCAGCCAGCAGAGGTTTCCAAGGCGTCAGTGCGAGAGTTCGAACGCTTCATGGACGTCAACGTCAAAGGCACGTTACTCTGCGTCCGCGCCGTGAGCGCCCAGATGAAGCAGCAAGAAGCTCGGCACTTCTCGTTGCGTAAGTCCACCCCTGCCCGGAACTGTGGCAGGGGCGTGATCATCAATTTGGGATCGAGTAATTCGTATGTGGCGACGCCCAATATAGTTCAATATACGGCCTCAAAGCATGCGGTGATGGGAATCACTCGCAATGCCGGTGTGTTCTACACTCAGTTCTTTGTCTTTTTCTCCTCATTTCCAAAGCTTAACGAGAAAATCAAAATTAGCCCTAGATTTGGCCCCATACGGGATCCGAGTCAATTCGATCTGCCCCTCGTGGGTGGAAACTCCGATGATCGAGCGAGCGGTGGCGGGCGATCCGAATTTGGCATTTGTGATGAGTCGAGTGGTGCCGATGGGTCGGATTGCGACGAAGGAGGAAGTCTCCGATGTGCTGATGTTCATGAGTAGTCCGCGGGCGAGTTTCGTCACCGGGGCAGGCTGGATGGTCGATGGAGGAGCAACTCTGCAGCTGCAGACTTGAAGGCAGTTATACATAAACATATATAGTACCTCGATAGTATCGGTATCGTGTTTCTCCATTAGTCCCATCAACGCATACTTGCTATCTGCTCTCTCTGCGTCCGTATACCTATCAACAACTGCAACTATTACTACCACTACCACTACCAACCACCATGGAAGACACCGGCCCTATTACCCAATTCCCAGCTGACGGCCTCCGCGCCTCGAAGCGGCTCATCACGTCCCACAATTCCGAGGGCAAAGGCGTCTTCATCACCGAGGATCACGGTGACCACCACAAGATCATGGTCCGCGGCAAAGGCGTAGCCAACATCATCTACAGCACCAAGGGCAACCCGGTAGACATGACCGATGACGCGGACGTCAAGTTCGCCAAAGAAAACGAGGTATCCCCTTCTCCCCTCATCCCACAGCCTCATTTAACATTCCCTTTCTAACATCCCGGAACAGCCTCCCCTGCACATCCCCAACGGCTCAGTCGTCCGTCTCATTGACTTTGCCCCCGGCGTCGAATCGCCCATGCACCGCGCCGTCTCCCTGGACTATGGCATTGTTGTCGAGGGCGAAGTGGAGATTACCCTGGACAGTGGCGAGTCCAAGATCATGAAACCGGGCGATATCTCGGTGCAGCGCGCTACGATGCACAAGTGGCGGAATGTGTCCGATACGAAGCCCGCTCGCGTGGTGTTTATTTTGTTGGACTGCTTGCCATATTCGGTAAATGGGGTGCAGATGACGGAGGATTTGGGCGATTTGGCTGGTGAATATGCTAAGAGGGAGGAATGAGTGCTTTCGTGTAGGACGTGTGATGCATTTATTTAGGTGATCTTCGAAGATGTCACACAGTTAGAGAAATCGTGGAGACAAATGTCTCAGAATGCTACCAGATTTCGCGGAAAGTCTAGGCCATCTAGAAACTAGCTGTTATATTACAGAAACCAACAAACTCATAGACAGATGATGTGGCTTATGCAGACTCTGTATTCAATCTCTTCAGCGCCCGACTCCGAACCCGCACCTTGTGCCCCCAGATATAGAACAGCACCGGGATTGGGATCAGCCCGAATTCCAAGGCAGCCAGAACAATCCCGGCCAAGCGTGGACTCAGCGCGTGGTAGAATCGCTCGCCGGCTTCGACCAAGCCTGCCGCCAGGAGCGACCGGCAGACGACATTAGACACCAGAGCCGACGAGGCAAACATCCCATATGACGCCGCCACATAGTTCGTGCCGTAGGTGAAGATGACCGTATTGCCAAACCCGAAGAGGACACCACCGATGATAGACGCGATCCAGGGAATCGAGGTGGGAAGTGAGGTCAGCGCGAAGATCAATTGCCCGACTGGAGCCAGCACGGCGGCGATGATGATGACGGAGACGGCTGACTCCGGGGCGCGTTTGCCTGTTCGCGCATCGACTGGATGTCGATTTATCAGTCGCCGCAGCATGGGCTCACATAAGACCGTCAGCGTATTGCCGATCAGCACTCCCACGAAGGCAAGGCCGGAGATCTCGGGGGACCAGTGCCGGAGGTCGGAGAAGACGATGGGATAGGCGATGAAACAGAGGTAGAGGACGGCGTAGATGACGGCGATGTACAAATTCCAGAACCACAGCACGGGTTCGGTGATGCACAGTTGGATGGGCCGCCAAATAGCCGTGGGGAGGCGTTGCTGAAGGGGGATTGTCTCATCGTGCTTCGACCACCAGCGTAGATCACCGGTGGACTGACGCTTAGCGGCTGCGCGTCGACGCAGGATGATGGGCTGGTACGTCTCTTTGATGCAGCTCATCAGCAGCCATCCCACCCCGGAAATGATCATGATGAACCAGTTGATGCCTCGCCAGCCCCAGCGCTCGTAGACAAATCCACCCTGAACAAACAATCTGCTTGTTAGCACCTTGTTCCCTGTGTTTACGTGGGAATATCTTACTATAATCGGTCCAGTTACTGGCCCATTCAATGGACCAATGGAATATACTGACATTGCCAGCGCCAGTCGTGAACTGGGCACGATATCGACCAGGCTCCCCGGCGCAAGGGTGATCATCACACCACCGAAAATAGACCTAACCGATCGACATAAGCTCCCCTAATCCTGCAAACTGGAAACAGAGGACTCACCCCAAGACACGTGCCACCAGGACGACAGCAAACGAGTCGGCCATAGCAGCGGCTGGAATTAGCCCTACGTAGACCAGTAAGGAAACAAAGTACACCGGTCGCCGTCCAAATGTCTCACTCAATGGAGCGAGAACAAGCGCCCCGACCGACCACCCAATCAGATAGAGCGAAATACCCAGGTTGGCGACCGTTTCGCTGGCAATACCCAGCTCGGCCATCATCCCCGTGATGCCGCTGGAGTAGCACGTCGAATAGAGGACCGTGGCCCATGCAGTGTATGTTATGGCCATGATCGCGCAGACCTGGTACCAAGTCTTCCAGTTTTTGGGGTTCTCGGGGTCGTCATCGCAGAAGTCCACGCAAAACTCCGGAATGTGCCCGCTAGACTCGTTGTTGGGTACAAGGTATGCACTCGACGCTGCTTGCGAGGGCGGTGTCGCTTCGTCGGTTGGAGTGGATATACCCCTTTTTGCTTCTAGAGCGATGCTATTTCCGTCTGACTGAGGATCAATATTGGGACTCTCTCTTGTCGGATTCAGAGCCATGGTTGGAAAATGCTAGGTTTTGACACACTGGCACCGGAACCTTTTCAAGAAGATGGGACAACATAGTTCAATGTACAAGTACCCCCGATCGCATTCTTTATCTTATACTACGTCTACCACTGCTTACGGGTTCTATTTTCAGTCCTTAGTATTAATCTAGTTGATGTTATCTACCAGCTTATCTGACATGTTCTTCCGGTCACGAACAGGAGTTAGGGAGCGGCGGTGCACATGGTCAATCACCAACATTAATTAGGCTTCCACCATCAGCTCCCTTCTCTGAAACACGCTAGAAGCTCGAAGCCTGTAGTTCGCCACTGGGAAGTGACAGCTGAAACAAGGCACAATAGAGGGGGCGAAGCGTCGGAGTTTAAGATTTGCGGTTTAGTTGCATCCTGGGGAGTTCGGGCTGGCCGAAATAGGAAATGACCATTAGGGCCGGCATCTATTGTGGTGGTCACTCAGTTGGTGCATCGGCCAGGGGCTGAGACACCAGCTGCATGTAAGACCGCTCATTCATACTCATGAGAGCTATATCATCATTTGTCTCTGCTAATCCGCCTACACACTTGTACCGTGACGATCCAACAACGAGATGCAAACAGACGCGTAACATGGCCGTGTACTTGCCCCGAAAGGATTACAACCTCCCGCAACTCGATTTGTTGTCGGTGATATTTGGTATGAACACAACAATGATGATCTTCGGAGAAGTGAGATTTTCTTTTTGCTAAGATACGCAGACTCTCCCATTTCCTGGACCGAGGAAGACACCGTTCTCCATGCCGAGGCCGACGATCCAAGCAACCAGATCACCAAGGGCAAGGCACGAATCCTGACCAAGCGCGTCGCATACCATCTCCGACATGACTTTGGCGTCGGCCGTACACCATCTACGGATGTGGTAACTGTCATTTCCTCCGGACAGGTCATGTTGCCAGTGCTGTTCTATGGAGTTATCGCTGCCGGGGGCGTTTATTCGTCCGCATCGTTTACCTGTACTGCGTCGGAGTTGGCTGCTCAGATCAAGCGGGCAAAGAGTAATATTGTGCTCGCCAGCGAAGACTGCTCTGATGTTGCCATTGCTGCTGCTAAGGATTGTGGTATCTCCTTGAATCGCGTGCTTATATTGCAGAGCATAGGACATCGGAGAGAACTCAGATGTGCAGCCACTGATCGCAACTACCTCCAAGAACCTTGGAGTTCAAACCAAAGGCTGGATTGGGAACGAATTGAAGAGCCTGAAACCCTTAAGAATCGGACGATATGTCTCCTGTACAGCAGCGGAACGACTGGGCTTCCGAAGGGTACGTCCACGAATGTTGATATGCCTTATACCATTAATTTGACAGACCCATTCAAGGACTGACTTATGATTCTGATAAATAGGGGTGCAACTGTCTCACCAGAATCTGGTCTCCTCCTCACTTCTTCCATCCCTGCTAGATCGGGAATACATTCTGCAGAGACGACACAGCGAGCCTAGCTACGTCTATCGCGGTACGACGCTGGCACATTTACCCACAGCTCATATCGGCGGCTGTCAGGGATACTTCACCATCGCCGCCATCTCTGGTGTGAAGGTGTACTGGATGCGCCGGTTTGACTTTGCAAAATTCCTCGAATACAACAAAAGGTACCAGATTACCGAGTTCTTCACGGTCCCGCCGATCTATCTCATGATCGCGAAGTCGCCACACGTAACGGATCAGTTCCAAAGTCTACAACGCGCCTTGTCAGGGGCCGCACCGCTGGGGCCACAGTTGCAAGCAGCGGCTGAAAAACGTCTCGACTGCCTCATCACACAAACTTGGGGGCTGACGGAAACGTCCGGTGGCGTGACAATGCTCCCGTGGGATGGCAGCTTGAACGATAACTCTGGCAGTGTGGGCGCCCTAATGCCCAATTGCCGTCTCCGTATCGTGGACGATGACGAGAGGGACGTGGGCGAAGGGGAAGAAGGAGAGCTATTGATCTCCGGACCAACTGTAATGCAAGGCTACCACGAGAATCCAGAAGCTACTCAAAACAGCTTTACCCAGGACGGTGTTTGGTACAAAACTGGCGATATCGGCCAGCAACGAGGACAACTCTTGTATATTGTTGATCGGAAGAAGGTAGGTGGAGCGTTACAACAAGCGAAGTATTATCTCTACTGACGTCGTGCTCGATACAGGAGCTCATCAAGTACAAGGGTCTTCAAGTCGCACCTGCTGAGATTGAAGGTCTGCTATTGTCCCACCCTTTGATCCAAGATGCGGCGGTGGTTGGTGTGACCGATTCGGAGTCTGGAAACGAGTTGCCGCGGGCATACGTGGTTACGGATCCCGCCCAACTCCCTGTATCAGAGATCCTGGGTTTTGTGAGCTCACGATTAGCTGCTCATAAGCAACTCAGAGGTGGGGTGGTATATGTGTCCGCTATTCCGAAAAGTGGCAGTGGAAAGATACTCAGAAGGGAGCTCAGAAATATGGCAGCAGAGGTTGGGAGATCCTCGAAGCTCTAAGCCAGGACATCTTTGTCAGGGCTATTATCTCCTCATAGAAGTTGTGTTAGGTTTACGCGAGAGGTGAATAAGGTCAGATAACAGCGAACATATAAGATCTTCGTATCTAAATAGTTATTAAATCTTCTCTGCCCGTCCGCCGTTTCTTTCCTTGGGTACAACCAGCACCGATAACTGGCCTATCGCCACCAAATCACCCTCAACATCGCTAATCCGAAGCTCAATATCCATTTCCTTTGATGTAAGCTGCTGAGTACGAGCCTCTTGAAACAGCCATCTAACGCCTTCGGCTGGCAATGGCTTGTGCAGCTGTAGCTCTAGTGTCATTGTGGGATACCAAGCATTCACCCACGTATCTGCGTCCTCTTTGGTCAACATCATGCCGACCGTCTTGTCCTCCACCTCCACCATCCGGTTCACCATCCCGACCGCGCTATAAGGCGACGGCTCCCCTCGTTCCGCTTTAAAATTATCCGGAATTTGCGGCCAAAGGTCACTGATCATCGGAATACATTCATTTGTCAAACGGTCGTGAGCAAACCGAGGACCTATCCATTCCACAACCTTGGTCGAGCCAAGTCGAGAATCTCGCGGAAGAATGTAGTCGAAGTGAGTTCTGACGCGTGAGTAGGGGTCGTGGCTGATTCTACACCGAATCCACGACTCATCTTGAACACTC